CTGCAGGTTACTGGGTGAAGTGTGAAGCTGATGAGTTTTGATTTCTGTTTTCTGTAGAGTTTCCAGTCTCTCTCAGCACCTCCTGAATCTACAGAAGTAAATGACGATCCCTTCAGTTCTCTCTTCTCTTCTGATGACCTGAGAGAATATGTCCATCAGCTGAGAGACAAACTGGAGGATTTCTGCAAAGAGCAGCTTAAGAAGATCTCAGACAGAGGTAAAGTCCTGGAGATTCATCTGCTCTCAGAAACCAGTCCATCATTATCTCATATCATGGAGAACATCATATTAGAAATGTCTTAGGAATGGATGCAGGATCATGAGAATCACACTGTTCATGTCTGTTGATTTCCACAGTCACATTCACCAACATTGTTCCCAGAACCAGGAACGACTTCCTACAATGTAAGTCAGTAAGAAAACAAGCAGAAAAACTCACTGAGTGTGTTCATGTTCTTCCTGTAGAAGGTGAAAGAAGAGTTGGTAACACTTTATTTTGATGGTCCCTTTTGAACATTCTGCTGATACTAAGTAAGGTTGCACCTACATGTCAACTAACTCTCATTAGTGTATTAGTAGACTGTCTGCTTCATATCTGCTCATTTTTATTCTAACCCTAACCCTAACCCTACCAGTCTACTAATACTCTACTAACACTCTAATAAGAGTTAGTAGACATGTAGGTGCAATATTACTTATAGTTAACAGAATGTGTTAAAGGGACCATCAAAATAAAGTGAAAAATAAGAGTTCTATAATTGATGATGTAAATGATTATTTGCACAGGATATCTGGTCATCTGTACTGAGACACTGATGATATACTGAATATGAAGAGTTCAGCTACATTTAAAAAATCAAACAGATTCATAATTCATAGTTTTATGTCCATCAGATTCCCATCAACTCACTCTGGATCTGAACACAGTGAATAAACGTCTCCGTCTGTCTGAGAGCAACAGAGTGATTACTGCCACTAGAAGAGTACAGTCGTATCCTGATCATCCAGACAGATTTGATGAGTATGTTCAGGTGTTGTGTAGAGAGAGTGTGTGTGGACGCTGTTACTGGGAGCTGCAGTGGAGTGGAGGTGATGATGGAGTGCGTTTATCAGTGTCATATAAGAGCATCAACAGGAAGGGATCAAGTAATGAGTGTTTGTTTGGATGTAATGATCAGTCCTGGAGTTTGTACTGCTCTCATTCCAGATACTCATTTGGACACAATAACATATGGACTGATCTCCCTGTAAAGTCCATCAGCAGTAGAATAGGAGTGTTTGTGGATCACAGTGCAGGAACTCTGTCCTTCTACAGCGTCTCTGACACAATGAGCCTCATCCACACAGTCCAGACCACATTCACTCAGCCGCTCTATGCTGGGTTTACTGTTTATAGAGAATCATCAGTGAAACTGTGTTGATGAATCAGAATAATAGGAGTGTTTGTGGATCACAGTGCAGGAACTCTGTCCTTCTACAGTGTCTCTGACACAATGAGCCTCATCCACACAGTCCAGACCACATTCACTCAGCCGCTCTATGCTGGGTTTACTGTTTATAGAGAATCATCAGTGAAACTGTGTTGATGAATCAGAATAGATTGACGAGAGATTCTAACCATAATGCTTTGAGCTGCATGATAAATCAGTAACAGTAGATGTTATAGAGTCTCTTCTTTTCTCTTCATGACATTAATACTGCAGCTGAACTTCTGTCACTGAAGTAAAATGTCTGAAGAAATGTACTAAATCCTCATATAGACAGTAAGATCAGTGTGAGTGTGTGTGTGTGTGTGTGTGTGTGAGTCCTGCTGAGTGACCATGTGTTTCTGTGCTTTTCTGAAACTCTGGGTGCTTTCACACTTGGTTCGATTGCCCGGTCTGAACCCGAGCTCAATTGCTTGATTTATTGCTTGATTGATTTATGACAAACAGTTTAAAAATTAGTCAGATTTAAATGATAATTACAAAACGTTATCATATTTCCATAAGAGTGTTAAATTTGATCACTAAATTAATGTCAGCCATTTTTAAAGACAAAGGAGAGGCAGTGGTCATGGTGAAACTTACAGACATTTGGTATCTCTAAAAAGCCCTGAATGTGCTCTCTACAGGACATCCAGACTTACAACTATGGCATGCAAGTTCTCAGAGTAATTCATTATAATAGATCATATCCACTACAGAGGATAAAAGTCTATTCCTGGGTCCCAGGAGGTTAAGATATGTGTATGTAAATTGTACTCCAGGGGGATTTTACTTCCTGCTCTCCTCGCTCTGTCCAAGCATGGCTGCATGGACAGGCATGGGGAGTTTTGCCAAGAACTGAACCAAACCGCAACACTAACTGTATGCTATATAATTGTAATAAATATACTTTGACGAAGTGGACCTGACTGAAATGGTACGTTTAATGCTAAGTTTAAAACAAGTTTGATTTAAGAAAAAAAAAAGTAATCGAAAAAGTAGTCAGAAAAAATAAAACGAGTAACCTAAATTATGCTACTAACTACAGTTTTCATCATATAATCTGTAATCAGTAACAGACTACAATTTGTTATTAATCTACCCAGCATTGCCTAACAGTGGATGGTGGCTGGTCACGTTTTTAAGGCTGTTGTCCTGCTTTTTTGTAACTTGTATTTTTTGAGTGTTTGTCTGAGACTGACATCTAGTAGACATTTCATGATTTACAGACTGACACGCCTGTTTTACACAAGTCTCTCAAACACAGAACCAGGAAACAGGAATCACATGACTTAAAGGAAAGAGAAACGGAAGTGTAGTTGAGCTGTTGTGTGTCTCTGTATTCATGCAGTAAAATGGCAGAAGCCAGATTTTCTCAGGGTGAGCTCTCGTGTACAGTGTGTCTGGATCTCCTGAAGGATCCAGTGACCATCCAGTGTGGACACAGTTACTGTAAGAACTGTATCACAGACCGCTGGGATCATGAGGGTCAGATCAGAGTCTACAGCTGCCCTCAGTGCAGACAGACCTTCAGTCCAAGACCTGCTTTAGCTAGAAAGACCATGCTGACTAAACTGGTGGAGAAACTGAAGAAGACTAAACTTCCCACTGACTGTTATGCAGGAGCTGGAGATGTGCAGTGTGAAGTCTGTACTGGAAGAAAATACAAAGCCGTCAAGTCCTGTCTGGTGTGTCTGGAATCTTACTGTCAGAATCACCTCAAACAACATGAGAGTTGGTTTAAAGGAAAGAGACACAAAGTGATTGATGCCACTGGACGACTGCAGGAGATGATCTGCCAGAAACACGAGAAGCTCCTTGAGGTTTTCTGTCGTACTGACCAGAAATGTATATGTGTGCTGTGTACGATGGATGAACATAAAAACCATGACACTGTATCAGCTGCAGCACAGAGGACAGAGAAACAGGTGATTAATACTAGCGATCAAGTTAATACTCAGTGTAGTGATCCAATAGTCTGTTTATTTCAGTATAGAGTCAGAGCTTAATTACACAAAACACAGAAACACTTTCAGTTTGAAGCTCTATGTCTGTGTCAGTTTCACCTTTATAATACTTACTCTAGTAGTGTGAAACAGGCCTTAATCCTCATGTTCATTCATGTACGATGGTGGTAAACAGAGGTGTAAAATATTGGAGTAAATGTACTTAGTTACTGTACTTGAGTATCTTTTCGGGAACTTTGTAGTTGTACTGAGTATCAAAGATATTAGCAACTTTTACACTGTACTCCACTACATTTCTGAATGAGTATCTGTACTCTTTACTCCACTACATTTGAAATGAGTGTTGCAGTTACAAATTACATTTTGCATGGACCTAGCTTTTTCTGTGGCAGTTTATTTCTGCTACAAAAGATGTGATACTGCCAGTTACAGGTCACTGCAAGTACTGCGTTTTGCCCTTACTCACCCAAACTTGTCAACAAGGCTACTTTATGTGAATGCGAGTTCCTTACCAAGTATTTGTGAATCAGAGGTGTTTTATATATGAGATGAGGACATGACTGCAGCCGGCCATGATGCCCAAACCAGCACATCCAGTGCAAGAAGGCTTCGGCTTTTTAATTTGACATAACATTATTTTATTTATCCATTATACTGAAGAGACCTTTCTGAAATATATTGTTTTTTGTTTGTTTGTTTTGTTTTGTAATTTTGAGGTGTTCAGTTTTATTTTGGTTTTATAAAATAAACGTGATTGCTCTCCTCACAAATCAACTCATTCTTGTTTTTGTCTCATGCTCTCTGTGCCTTGCCCTGGACTTTTATGTCACTTCCTGTCTCCCGTGGTGTTTGTAGTCCGTTTGTTCATTGGTTCCCCTTGATTAGTCTCCCCAAGTGTGTCTTATCTTGTTAAGCTTGTTA